TACCGGTCTGTATGTGGGATCTAAACCCTCGGCGGGAGCGCCACCATGCTCCCAAGCGGCGCACTGTAGCAGTGCGCCACCAGGCCGGCCCCACAGAAGCATTTTTTACAAGCACATGCTCAGTTGGATGACAAATATTTAAATCAATTTAACCTTGATCTTGTTGCTAGTTATATTAAACATAAATAATAATCCAGAGAAGAAAAGCTGCTACAACAGGTAAATATATAGAACAGGTAAAATATAGCTGATAGTTGCTATGTAACATTGAGCTTGAAGAAATCTGTCAAATTCCCTTTAGGAATGATAAGGATTCCTTAGGAATACTTCATGCAGGTAAAGTTTAAAAGACAATATATTAAACATTTCAGGTTTCATAATGTTCTTCAATTGCTCTCACAGCAAAATGCTTGTTCATTTGTCTAAAGTTACTGGTCCTGTTTAGTAAAACTCAAAGAAGTAGTAAAAAATTTCATTGTCTATAATTTAGCTGAACTCAAATTTGAGCTTTGATAGCTTCTAGGAGAGGCTGGCATGAAGACTTCTGGTCCTTTCATAAGTGTATAATTAAATGCTACTAAACTTGAAAGAGAAAGATTTCCCCAAAGTCTTAGAGGACAATAACCTTATATCACTTTTCTATTTTCTCCCCATGTATTCAGTGCATTACCAGCCTCAACTCACTTTCAATGTGGTCTAAGGTTATATTGAAGCAAGGTTTTGTTTGTTTTTGCTTAGTTTGTTCAGTTTTTTGGTACAAAGATGTTAGAACTCCTATTTTGGAACTTTAGAGTCAGCCAGTCAAAAAAAAAATATTTACTACTCTGAGCACCCACTATAATCAGTGTTATGAGACTTAACAAAAGAAGTAGACTATCCATGTTTATTTATAAGAGTTCACAATCTAACAGAAAAAGATAACCAGGTACCTGGAATGGAAAAATACATACAACCTAAACCCATTTATTACCATCCTACTTTCTCAATGTAATATATTTTTGCATAGTTTTTTTCTTTCTAGCTGAGAAAGACAGAAAATAAAGTAATGTTTTTATAATGCTGACCACATTTGTTTTATTTCAAAATAAGGCAAAAGAAATAAGGGTTAATAGAAATGTGTTATTCGTACTAATTTTAAATATCAATTTAAAAATAAATGCAAATGTACAAGTAATACAAATATTTCTTGCTTATCACTGCTTAACCAAAACATAAGAATTATAGATAGTCATTCAGATTTTCCCCCCAACATCTAACTTTTGTTCTTAAATGTTCTCAGCTCTAAAAATGTGTTTCTGCTGCTCTCTACTGGGAATGAGGTATAACTGCATCTCATAGATACAAGCGGCAGTACTTTACGGCAAGACTAATTGTGATTCCCTGTTTAAAAAACCTTTCTCCTGAAACTAACTTTTAAATATAATTTTATTCTATTTTAAAGGAATTGATAAATAGCTAACTATCATCTGAGAATGAAAAACGGTTAAGTTCTTAGCCTTTGGATATCGGAGGAAGAGGAGAAAGGCCACAGGGGAGAGGGAATGGGGGAGAGTAGGAGAGAAGTTAGAGGAGAGAGGGGAGGGATAAGGGAGGAGACAGGAGGAGTGTGAAGAGGAGAGGAAAACCGTCAGGAGTAAGGGGGCAGAGGAGAGGAAAGACAGAAGAGGTCAGGGGAGCAGCCTTTGGATTTTTAAAAGTAAAAAACTAAGGCCTGAGACAAACATTAAATTAAGCTTTGCTATTCACCAAATGAGAAAGAAAATTCAAGTAAGAGGAATACATATACATATGCCATCAGGCATAACTGCTTCCAAACACAATTTTTTTCTATCTCAAAGAACACTGCTAGCTCACTTTTCATTTAAGTCCTATATTTAATGCATTAAAGGGTCTATGACAGTCCAAAGTACAAAGGTGATTTATTCACTGAGAATCACTCTAAAATGGATTATCAGGTAGACATTTAAATATTTGTCAAATGAAGAAATACTAAAGACTCTTTTTCATGAGCATTTAAGATAACAGAAATCCTAAATGCTAGCAATACAAATTTTCCAGGGAATCTGTGTTCACTTTCCAACATAGCTCATTAACTATTCCATCTTCTATAAAATAATATGATAAAGGGCTTGCAGTTTTCCTAGTGGCAGCTTGAAAGAGTTATTGGGGTTTTTTTGTTTTGTTTTTGGGTTTTTTTTGTTTTAAGCAGGAATCACCAAATTAATAAAACATGTATTCCTGAAGATATTCTTTGAAAAGTAAACATTGAATATCAAATTCAGTATCTCTCAAGGACTTACATTCCTATGTTTTTAAACTGACTTGAAAAATTTAGCAATTACTGAGCTTCTACTATATGTTACAGAATTTTAACTATATTATAACCAATCCTCACAACTCTAAAAGAATGAATATGATTATTCTCTCTTTAAATGAGGACTTGGAGGTAGAAAAAGATTCAAGTAACTTGCCCAAGTACCAGAGCCAGGATTCAAACTTACATTGGTCAGTCTCCAAAGCCAAATTCTCCACTATTCCTTGCAGCTTACTTTCATTGGATGAAGAACATTACACTAACAGACTAGTAAGAATTGTAGGCTGTAGCAATTACTCTTTCAATATTTCAGAAAAGCAATACTACCTTTCAAAAAACAAAACTGAGAGCCTCTACCAAATATCAAGGGAATTCTAACTGTCTCTCTGACTACTGTTCTGAGCTCCTGGTTTTAGAACATGCAAGAAACAGAGCCCTGGTAGTAAAATAAAGACCCTCCCTGAACTACACCCTCAGATGCCCCATCAGCCTTCATTCTGTCAAGGCCAGGGATGGGAGAGCAAACTAAAAAATGGTGTAACAGGAAAAGCCAAGGTAACAGAAAACTAATCTCTTCTCTATTTCATAAATTCTGCTATGAATTCTGCTATAAAATTTTAGAATATTAATTAAAATAATACATATGTGATTTAATTTCCAAATCTGTACAACATTTAAATACTAAATTCAATCCTTTTTTTCAATTTGACAAAAGTCACAATAATTCTGTTTTATAAAAACATACCAGCAAGGGGTGGCTTATGTGAGTGAAGAATACAGGGCACGCTGACAATTAATTTGTGGTCTGGAATGGGGAGCACTTTTACATCTGCATTCCTAATTAAAACAGAATGAAAAAGTAAACTGTATTTTAAAAAACAATTTTTTATGTATAAGCCACAGTTGTATTTTTTTCCTTCTCAAATAGTATCTGACTTTAAAACAAATTTTAGAACCAATAAAGGAAATCAACAATTTAAGAACTGAGACATTTCTTTTACTACAATAATTATAATTACACACTAGCTAGAACAAAAGATAACATAAAATTTCATGTGCATACCATTCACTCTTTTCTACTCTAGGACATTTTCAGATTTTCAAAAACGTAAAAATAAAGGAAAATCAATGATCATTGTGTCAATAATTTTTAAAAGCCTAAAAATTAACATATTTATACAATTTTGAAAAGTCACCTTTCCTACCTTAATGGTAAAGCAGTTTTGTCTTGAACTCTCCCCAGTATAAGACCTTCGTAAGGTTTTTTGTGTGGAGAATCTAATGGGAACACAAACTCTCCTGAACTAGTGATCTGATAGGAAGGAGCCAAAAGAAAAGAGTTATTTTTTCCCTTCACTATACAATTTCCACCCCCCACCCCACCCCCAAAATTATTAAGCCTCCGGGCTAGTGCTGTTCAATAAAAAATATAATGTGAGCCACAAATGCAAGCCACATGTGCAATTTTAAATTTTCTAGTAGTAACATCAAAAAAAGTAAAAAGAATGCAATAAAATTATTTTAATTATATATTTAATTTAATCTAACATTTAAAATATTATCATTTCAATATGTAATCAGTTCAAAGAAGCTATTGAGATATGTTACATTCTTTTGTACCATGTTTTTGAAATCCAATGTATATTTTACACTTAACAGCACGTCTCAATTTGGACTAGCCACACTAGCTGAAGAGCCACTTGTGCTAGCAGTTACCATAATGGACAGTGCAGCTATAAGGATTTAAAAACTATATTTATACTATCTAGATGTTTTAATATAATTTTATTATTATCTTGCACATAAACAATCTCTACTTTTCATTAAAATGTATTCCTTGAAACCATGTCATCATTAATTTATTAATTTATTCAAATGACATTTATTGATTATCAGCAATGTGACCAAGTAGATCAAAATAAAGCATTTTTCTTTAGTTATAGGAAATAGTGTCATTAAATACCATCAGAGCTAAAATTAATAAGGAAAGAAGCTGGGTAGTTGATAAAACAGTCAATAGCTATTCAGAGACCAGCCCTCGGCATTATAAATTCAGAAATTCAATTTTGTCATTTCACCTTGGGATGACCAGACTCTCAAAGACCCATGTAAGCTAATCAAACTCAAAATATAACTTATAATAACAATATAAATTAATTTACCATGGGGATATATATTTTTCACTGTCAGAATATTCATATCTATTATCTATAGAACCCTTGACCCTATATCAAGGTACCTAAACCACTAAATCAGTAACCAGAAAGTCCTTTCATCTCCTTCAGGACCAACTAGAAACAGCGCCCCTTACACACAATGCTACATATACACTGACAAATTCTTATTCTTTGGATAGCCTTTATACGCAGTGCAGATTACTTCTTATATTGTAACAATATTTGTAATCACCTAATAAATGTTTCACATAATATATATTGTACTTTTGTTTTAACCTCTGGTCTTATCATCTCAGAACTGACTACTACTATAGATGAATAATCTCAGCTTTTATGTATTAACATTTTACTGGGCTTGATTTCAGATTGACCTCTTCCTGACTTTGGCCCAGTCTATGACTATAAAAGAACAATCATAATGGGCAGGGTGAAACGGGATGTTATATTCCTGTCATCGTCTTATACCAAATCAAACAAAATCAAACATGATCAAAGTACGTCATGAAAGCAAAGATAAAACTGTAAATCTTTGTTTAGCCAAGTCCCATGAAATAGGTACAAATAAACAATACACAGATTTTAGAAGATACTCCAGTAGACTAAAAAGTATATACAAAGCACATAAAAGTACAACTCTGTGTCTAAAATAAATATTCCAGTTATACAACTTTTAAAAGATGAATTAATAAAACTTGGCTTATCTTTTTAAAATTCAGGGGAGCGTTTATGGAATTCATCTGAATAGTCAACGTATCTTTAAAAGTACAATGAACTCTGAATTAATGCCTTATTTTTCTATATTCTTGTAGCACACAAAGATATTATAGACCATTCAACCAACCCTACAGATGGAATCATTTCTTTCAAATACAGGCACAGCAGCACATAAGGCACTGAGGACCTAAGTTAACATTTAGAGCATAAAAGATTCTTGGGTTCTGGCATCTTCTCTGCCCCTCTACACGGGTTACTTTGCTATTCTCTACTGTCATCCCCAGCAATGTAAGAAAAAGAAAGAAAGATGTCACAACGGGTGACTGAAATTGTGGATATGTAGAGGGGGAGAAGATGAAGGGTAAGACTATTTCTAGGTTTGGTAATGGATAAATTCCTCAAAGTATTTGTTTGTTGTTTTTTTATTTTTTTTTATTTATTTTTTTTTGTCCTTTTTGAGACCGGCCGCACCGCGCTCAGCCAGTGAGCGCACCGGCCATCTGTCACAACGGGTGACTGAAATTGTGGATATGTAGAGGGGGAGAAGACGAAGGGTAAGACTATTTCTAGGTTTGGTAATGGATAAATTCCTCAAAGTATTTGTTTGTTGTTTTTTTATTTTTTTTTATTTATTTATTTTTGTCCTTTTTGAGACCGGCCGCACCGCGCTCAGCCAGTGAGCACACCGGCCATCCCTATATAGGATCCGAACCCGCGGCAGGAGCGCTGCTGCACTCCCAGCGCCGCACTCTCCCAAGTGTGCCATGGGCTCAGCCCTGTTTGTTGTTTTTTTTAAATTACAGACATAAGAGCTTTTTAAAATTTCATCCTCATATCTTCCTGATTGATTTCCCAAGGCCAGCAGTTTGGGATCCTACTACAAAAAGACACAGAAGAAACAGGTAAAAGCCTTGAGAAGAATAAGATGTTTAACAGCAAAGTGAAAGTTTTAATAAGTCCATTGTGAAGGAGCAAAGCAGTGAGATGTTATGCATTAAAAAGTAGATGTGGGGGGGCCGGCCCGGTGGCGCACTGGATAGTGCGCCGCTTGGGAAGCGCGGCGGCGCTCCCGTCCGAGGGTTCGGATCCCACGTACAGACCGGCTCCCGCTCACTGGCTGAGCGAGGCGCGGGAGCAACGCCGAGGCTTGTGATCCCGTCGCCGGTCCCCGGTCCGGTACGGGGGCAACACTGAGGGTTGCAATCCGTTGCCGGACACGGAAAAAAGACAAAAAAAAAAAAAAGTAGATGTGGGGCTTTAAAAGGAAAAAAACGTAGATGCTAACTTTATGTGACATATATGTCACACTGTAATTACAAATAACTTCTGAACTTACTTTTACCCAATGCCATTCAGCAACTATCTCCACAGACCAAGAAGGATAAAGTTCTTCCTTTACAAAATGTAGGTGTTTCTGTCTATTGGTCACCCAAGTAACAACAAGGCAGTTTGGTGCAGCCAATTCAGGGACAGGTATTTGCTTTATTTGCAGTGGTGATAAATAACTGTACCTAAAAATAAACAGAAAAAAATATGAGCAAAATTCAGTACAAAAAAAGAAAAATAAGCAGGAAGACCTAACATTGACTCCACAAATACAAAGTTGCTCCAGCGATTTGTGTTAACTAAATATGAAGCCACAGTGACACCTGGTGGACACATTATTACACACAACTCAGAAATAATTTTTTTTTTACTAATTTAAAATCATCAGTCTGTATTTTTTTAATCACTTCTAAATACATTACATTTTGGTAATTTTACTATTTATAATGCATTTTCCTCCCATTCAAAATTAATCAAATATTATTGTTTGGATCCCACAATCTATATGTTACACAAGAAGCCCATCACAGTGAATCTAGAAACAGGTGAAAGTGGTAATGCCAAAGCCAATTTATTTCAATAAAGCTTCTCATACTCCTAGAATTCTCAAACCCTACACAAGATGCTTGGGTCATCTATCATCTCACCCATCCTCATTTCCATCCCCCTACATTTGCAATCCCCAATCTATCAGCCTGCTTCTTTCTTCCTCCCAATAAATTCTACTAGGTTCTCTGAATTCCTCATACTTTATTTAAAAAAAAAAAAAATCCTACAGTCTTGTACCTTCTGGCCATCAATACTGTGAAGTCTATTTGTCTTGCTAGAAAGCTACTTGCTCTACAATATCCAATCAAATGAATATGGCCCTTTCTCTAACACCCCATACACACAAAAGAAGGGGAGAGGTCATTATTCTCCTAGCTGCCCCATTGCTGCTTCTAGGCTGTAACTCATCTACTATTGCATAATTCCCTTCTCTTTGAGAAGTATACTGACCAGCTAAGCTAGCCTCTAACGCTCCTTATTAAACCCATTTCATCCTTATTCTCCATTTTCTACGAAGACTTCAGCTCTGAGATCCCTCTACCTCACCAACACAAACGTTGCCATTATCCTGGGCAATTTCAAAGCACAATCCATATAACTAAACTTCAGCTAAACAAGTACAATTGCATTTACCCCTCTTCAGTAATCCACTCCAACGCCATAACCTGGTCATCACTCACACTTGCTCCATCTCTGAAACCATAAACATCACTCTCTAGCCGCAACCTTTTATGCCTCACCTATTCTTTGACCTTATCAAAGCATCCGGTGCCCCATCCCTCCGCTTTGCTGAGTCTCAGTTTCTTCCTGACCATACTTGTTCCTCTTCCCCACAGACAACCAATCGCTTCACTGCCTTCTCATCAGCACTCTCAACTCCCATCCCACCCTTCCCCTCCAACCTCACAGTTCCTACAAACCTCTAATCTTAAATCAATACCACAGTTTAATCCAACTTCTTCATGTGGGGAAAATCAAGTGGAGAAAAATGCAGAACAGAAAACTGGGTCACTAAGTTTATTAAATCCATTCTCATGCTCTCAAAACTATTCACCAATTCTTTTACTTATCCTTGGTCAAGTACTACAAACCCTCACCACTTTTCAGGTCCCTTGCCTAAACTCACTTTTGACAGACAAAGTTAACTCATACATCAGTAAAAATGAAGTCCACCGAGCTCCTTCAATTGCCCTACTCTCTTCCCCCTCCTTTACACACCTTTACTTATCTATTTCTATACATCTCCTCTTAAAGGAAATGGCATGACTTCACCTATTAAAGCTGATCTCTCCAGCTGTATTCTCTTATCCCCAAATTCTATTATCTCTAATGCCAATTATTCTCCTCCTGTATTTTCAACCTCTCTAGTAGCTCTTTACTATGAAACTATAAATATGTTTATACTATTCTATTCCATTTGAAAAGAAAGAGGAGAGAAGGGGGAGGGAGAAAAGGGAGAAGGAAAAGGAGAGGAAAGGGAGGGGAGGGGAAGCGAGGATAGAAAAAAGAGAAAAGAGAGAAATTCCCTCAATTCGATCTCCTTCCGTTTACAACTAAGCTAAGGACTGCTACGCACTTAGTCTTTCTACTTTCTCTCCCTTATTTTTTCTTCTGTTGACTCCAATGAGGCTTCCACCAGTTTACCTGCTCTGAAAAAAGTAAATGACCACCCAACAGCCAAAATTAATAGACATACAAATCTAGCCCTAGCACATGGAAACTGTTTGAAGTCAAGAATGATCAATAAATATTTCTTCAACAAATAAATGAGTAAAAGATCATATCTCAAGCACCCAAGTTTCCTGCCACCTAGGCCAGTGCTCTTCCAGCAGACTAGCATTTCTTATCATCAAAGTGATGATCCTAAAACACTAATTTTGCCACAGTATGAAGAATGTCAGGTAAAAAAAATTGAAGTAAAATGGTTTCAATAATTGCAGATTTCTTGATTGCCTTAATTTTATTTAATTGGCTTGATTTGGGAGGAGGTGGATGGAGGAAATACTCATATTCCTTCTTCTAGCTCTAATCTCATGGAAATCACTGAGCGAATTCCAAAATATGCAACAGCACCTACTCTTCAAAGGAAACACAGGTGACACCTTTGTGACCTAGGTTTAGGCAAAGGTTTCTTAACTACAACATCAAATGCACAAGCGATCAAAGAAAAAGATGGACTACATCAAAAAGAAAAATTGGGGCCGGCCCGGTGGCGCACTGCTACAGTGCTCCGCTTGGGAGCGCGGTGGTGCTCCCGCCGAGGGTTCGGATCCCACATACAGACCGGTTCCCGTTCACTGGCTGAGCGAGGTGCGGGTGCGACACTGAGGGTTGCGATCCCGTTGACGGACATGAAAAAAGACAAAAAAAAAAAGAAAGAAAGGAAAAAAAAAGAAAAATTGTGCGTGAAAGAACACTATAAAATATCCAAGTGGATCACCTGGTTTAAAAAAAGAAAGAAGACAGTGAAAAGAAAACCCAGAGAATGGGAGAAAATATTTGAAAATCATATATCTGATAAGGGTCTAGTATCCAAAATATATTTTTAAAAAATCTTAGTCATTGGCAATTTTTTAAAAACCCAGTTATAAAATGTACAAAGGATTTAAACATAGTTCTCCAAATAAGATAAACAAATGGCCAATAAGAACATGAAAAGATGCTCAACATCATCTATGAGACCGTGCCCTTTTTCTAAGCAAAAACAACAGATAAAAGGTGGCGCCCAGGGGAAGTTAAGGGGGAGGGCTAAGCATAGAGAGGCAAGGTACATGCACATTTGACCTTTTCAAGGATTAGCCTAAGCTGGGAAGTCCCCACCTGCTAAGCATATAAATATGATCTTTTGTGTTACAATAAACGGAACTGCCTGACAGAACCCCCGCTGCATGTGTCTGTGTTTGTTCCCTATCTGGGAGAGCAGCAGCATGCTCACCCATCTCTTGGAATCTCTTTTCGCCCCATGTCCTGGGGGGGAAAAAAGGGCAATCCCTTTGGCCTCAACCCTCTAGGGAAAGGAAAAACCTGTTGGGGGTCCTGTGCGCCAGAGACGCCCAACAATCATCAGTCATTAGAAATGCAAATCAAAATGACAAGATAATTGCACACCCAATAGGATGGCTATAATTTTCAAAATAAATAAAACAAAATAAGTGGAGAAACCAAAGATGCAGAAAAACTAGAACCTTCATTGCTGGTGAGAATGTACAAAGGTACAGCTGCTGTGGAAAATAGTTTGGCAGTTCTTCAAAAATTTAAAGATAAAATTACCACATAGTACAGCAATTCTACTCCTAGGTATACAAACAATTATACCTGAGAGAACTGAAAACATATTGCCCAGCATTAGCCAAACTGCAAAGACTGACCTCAAGACTGACCTCACTTCTCAAACCAAGTTCAGGCAGTTTCCAAAACCACCCTAAAGTTCAAAACTTTATTAGTTAGGCCGGCCCGGTGGCGCACTGCTACAGTGCACCGCTTGGGAAGCGCGGCGGCGCTCCCGACGAGGGTTCGGATCCCACATACAGACCGGCCGCTCACTGGCTGAGCGAGGAGCGGGGGCAACACCGAGGGTTGCGATCCCGTTGCCGGTCCCGGTCCAGTACGGGCACGACACTAAGGGTTGCGATCCGTTGCCGGTCACGAAAAAAAGACAAAAAGACAAAAAAAAAAAACTTTATTAGTTAGACACACAGAAGTTATTGAAAGCTGTTATACTCACAGTTACAGTTTATTAAGGGAAAAAACAGAGATTAATATCAGCCAAAGGAAGTGAGTTAAAGGATACTAAAGAGATATGACAACTGAACATAATGCATAATCCTAAATTTTATTTTTGCTATAAAGGACATTTCTAGGACAACTGGTGAAACCTGAATAAGGTCTGTGGGTATAGTACAGTATTAATAAATACATTGTATCAATGTGGATTACCTATTTTGATAATTACATTATGATTATGTAAGACAGTATCTTTGTGTTTAGAAAACACACTGAAATATTTTAAAGTAACTTTTTCTCTTAAATAACTCATTCTCTAGTCATTCAGGAAAAAATTATATAGAGATATCTACATACACACACACACACAGAGAACAGATACATGAATTCCTTGTATAATTCTTGCAATTTTAAAAGAAAAAAAATCCTAGTGGCCCATAAACAAAAAGCATACGGAAGGTGAAGATAAGTGTGGATAAGAAATTTCTTATCTAATTTCATATTTCAAAGAAATAGGAGTAATTCGGTCTAGAAAATTGAAGGGTGAGAGGAAATGCAACTAAAGATATTCATTATAACTAGGGGGAAAACTTAAAGTTTTAAAAACACTATTAAAAGGAAACATCATCTGAGTAACTAATGGAACTTATCATCGTAAGAGATGGTATAAACTAAAAAATGGTGTCAAATTTAAAATAAAAACAAATTTAAAATAAATTAGACAAATTCATTCATAGTAGGTTATTAAAGAAAGTTAGAAATATTTTGGCACATATTTCTTTTTTCTTTTTTATATATATATTTTTTCTTTTATTATTGAAACAGAATCTATTGTACATATCTGTAGAGCTTAGAGATGAATATCCATACCTATGATGGCACATATTTCTAAACTTTAGAATTTGATACCAAATAAGGCAAAAATGTTGCCCTTTGGTGTTACAGAAACCACTGTGAACTGGTTCAGGAGCAAGCCTTAGTGATTAATAAATATATTACTCTTGATGTTCTTACAAATAGTTCTACTTCAAGGGAATTATCCAGTTAAGGAAATTAAAATTTAAGAACTATTTAGAGCATTTTAGTAGTTTCAGATAACATATATCATAAAGTAATGGTTATAGTATATTGAAGTAGAATGTACAAAGGACTATAGTTTTTAGAAAGTATATCTAACAGATAATTCATTTCCACATACCTGTTACTTCTTTTAACTGATTTGTTCTGCCATGGTGGATCTATCACAATTACATCAAATGTTTTCCCACCTGAAAATAAAAACACAATTTCAGGAAATACCTTCCGTATGTAATCACTTTAAAAACTAAGCATGTTCTTCAAAACTAGTGTGCCTTCACTACAGACACAAACATAATGGAATGTAATATAAGATTTGCAGCATTTATTCAAATAGAATAATTTACCTAGAAAAATTAGAGAGCTCCCTTACAATTTAGTACCTCTGGGATTTTCACATAGGTTCACCTATTGTTATTTTTGCAGAGACTATTTGCAGATGAGTACAGCTCACTGAGTTGGACACTTAGGACCTGTAAATTCCCTGTAAGTGTTGGCAGCCATATTAATATGGTCCTTTCAAACCCATCCCGTTATTTAAAAATAACATTTTATTTTTAAATAATTTAAGTCTTAAAACTGATATATTAGCCATAATAAAATTTCCCAGTTTTCAACTAATGTCCTTTTTTCTGGTCCAGGATCAAAACCAGGATTACACACTGCATTTAGTTGTCACATCTCCTAAATCTCCTCCAATCTGGGAAAGTTTGTCAGTCTTTCTTTGCCTTTTATGACCTTGACACTTTTAAAGGCTATTGGCCAGTTACTTTGTAGAATGCCTTCCAGTTTGTGTTTGATATTTCCCCATGATTAAATTTAGGCTATTTTTTGGCAAGAGCATCACCAAAGTAATGCCTGTTGTACCCTACCAGAGCAATATGTCAGGAGTACAGGAGGTCAAAATGTGTCATCATTTGTGATATTACCTTACATAACTTAGGTAAGGTATTGTCTGCCAGTTTTCTCTACTTTTTCCCTTGTAATCAGCAAGTATCTTGGGAGATACTTTAAGACCATGAAAATATTCTCGATCACATCTTTTCACCCACAATTTTGACATCCAGTTATTACTATGGTGTTTACCAAATGAAAATTTCTTAGTTCCATCACTCTATGCATATTTATTAACTGGAATTCTACTGTAAGGAAGAGCTGTCCCTTCTCCCCCTTTCATAAACATAGGCCTATTTTTATAAATGTACAGTCTCATAAGTAATCAAAAGAATGCAAATTAAAATAAGGCAGTGATACTTTTTAAACTGTTAGAGTAACAAAGATCAAAAAGAACAAAAGAGGGGAGGGGTAGAATAAGATGAATTACTGACTACCACTAGTCTCTCACACAAAGACAGACAAAAGAAGGGCTGGCAGTTACCTCACATGGTTAGAACATGGTGATAATAAGACCAAGGTCAAGGGTTCAGATCCTGTACGAGCTAGTCACACACACACACAAAAAAAGACAAAAGAACAAATACACAACTACACTTGGACAAAAATAACTAAAGGAGAGCACTGGAGTGCATCAGAGGAGTAACAGAAAAAATTACGAGCACAAAAACTCAAGATAGCCACACAGACAACAGAAGAAAATCCCCAGCCTGCACCACCCCATCTCCCAGCCAGGAGCAGCTAGGATCCAGGAGGAATTTCTGCCTACAAGAGAAAGGTAAATGAGAGCTGCACCATGGACACCTGCAATCAAAGCTACAAGGGAGCTGCATGGCTCACAGGCAGTGAGGCCACCGTGGGGAGCTGCTGGGAACCCACACAAATATATTAATCAAGAGACAGAGTTCCCAGTGAGTCTCCCCACCCCTCAGGTCCCAGGCAGGAGCTGCATGGCTCACAGGCAGTGAGGCCACCGTGGGGAGCTGCTGGGAACCCATACAAATATATTAATCAAGAGACAGAGTTCCCAGTGAGTCTCCCCACCCCTCAGGTCCCAGGCTGCTTCAGCAGTCACCATTCTGGAATCAGAGCCAACAACCAAGTGCATTTTGCCCTGGGGCCCAATAGCCCCAGCATCTCCACATCCTTGAGGCCCCCTCATGAAACCAGATCCCTGGCACCCCAAGCAGAGTATGGAGGCCACCCACAGGACACAGGGAGTCAGTGTACACACTTACCAAAGCCAAAAAGCCAGCCAATCAGGGCCTTCTGCCACTGATGGTGGCCCTGCTCTCTACAGTGGAGCATCCATGCACCTCCCACAGGGTCACTGAGTCCCTCCATGGCTCCAGCAAATCTGCGCAATCCGATGCACCACAGCAGGGAAACTGTAGAG